TGCCCAAAAGGGTCACTGCTGTGCAGCCCCTGAAGAAACATTTGAGCTCTGTGGGCTTTCCTTGGTCAGCTGCCCCCTGCAGTGTATCAGATTTATCTGTCTGCAGTTGGTTTGACTGATCACTGGGGACTGCTGTGGTACCCTGGGTTTGTCGGTGCAACACCCTGCCAGCCACAGAAGTACAAGAGTGTAACTACATTACAGTTCAGCTGAGTCTGCTCTACAAGCTCACAGAAATAAAATCAACCCAGATGCTTTCTCCTTAGTTTATTGCCTTTCCACACTACTAACCTAGGCTTTATGTGACAATCCTGACTCCTTGGCAGCACGGAAGGCTTTCCTTATGCTTGTCTTCTTTGCACGGATGCAAACCCTGAATATTATATTTATATAATATTAAAAAAACAAAATAGAACAACAAACGTATTGCAAACCTAAGCAGTTCAAGTATGGAATTTCATGTTCCAAAGTCATTAGAGAAGTCAAATGCAGAATCTGTAGGAGGTTAGCTCAGAATCCTTGTGTAGGAGAAGATTGCAGGTGCTGTAGCTGCAAAGTGGAGCCTTCATTTAGAGCAGCAGCAGCAGTTCCAAACATGGCTTTTACTGGTGCTGTGCATTTGTACCAGTAATTTACACTAGGTTGGCTTTATCTGTGTGATCTTACTGGTCCTTGTGTCCCTAATCTGAATGAAGCACGTACTCAGCTAGTTTCATGAAGTCCTTACAAGCTACTTCACAAGCAAATACTAATATGTAGTAAGCTAAGCTTAAGGATCATGTGATTCTTCAGATCGTAAATCTGGTGGCTCAGAGTTGTACACATATTTGGCAGATTATCGGTTTATCACTCGTGGCTAATCTTCTAGAGAAGTGTGGCTTAATTCCTTTTGTTAACTAATTAAAAAAACAAAGAGAAGTTAAAGCTGCATTTAGACTATTAAGACATATATTACTCACTCAGTGGTCTGTGCAGTTGGTATGAATGCATAATTAGTAACTCTGTCTAAATATGAAGGACACTCACATGTTGTAAGCCATCAAATGTTGACATGGGCTTGGGATTCAGAGTCAAGTCAATATGAAAATATGAATATAAACCAAGTCATGCTTTTCAGAGTAAATTCTCCAGCCTCAGACCTACCTGCCTCGTGTCTCAACAGCCCGCTCGTGGCACAAACAGGTTGATAAAAGAGTCTCAGAGCACCTTTGCAACCAAAATTGCCCTTAGAACTCATAGCAGTCACTTGGCATGGACCAGGCGTCCCTAAGACAACTGAGCTGGGAGCCCACATGCAGCAGGGCTGTGCTTGTCATCCTCTTTGGAGCATACAGATATTACTGATATCCAAAGTAAAGGCATAAATACATTGTTTGATGTAATAATTATGTTTCAAAAACCTTTATTTGCTAGTGCTGACCTAGAGAAAAAGGCACAGAAGTCTCAAGGCTGCTGATCTTAACCCATGGAAATGGAATAAGCACAGGTGCTGAAAGCTAAGGCTTTTTCAATTTTCATGCCCCAGTGAGAAGTGTTTGCTCAGATGAACAAATTACCGAAGAGCTCCAAAGTAATGCAGAAAGGAATGAGGTTCTTCAATATATACCAATTTCTGCTTGGGGAACAGTGAAATTCAGTCAGCAGTGCCCTGTCTCGGCTGCCTGTGCTGCTTTTGAGGGCAGATAATGTGGAGAAGAATTTGGCTGGTGTCAGCCCTTTTTGTCTCACTAAATTGCTGAGAGTCCTGGGGTAAGCAAAGAGGGTAAAGCATGTGGGGGAAATTGTAATGCAGAGGAAATGGTAGAAGTGTTCTGCTCCAGCTATGGAGAACAGAGCTTCCTGTGTGAGTAATACCTGACGTTCCCGTTTGTTTGTGGCAGTTGTAATATTCACATACAAAAAGAGAGAGAAACACGTGTTTGGGTGTATGGGTCTATAAATACACACACACAAAATAGCAATTGTTTATATTGCATACATGCTGGTTTGGGGATCAGTTTCTGAGTGGTTTGTGGTATGGCAGTGGCTCAAATGAGTAGCAGTGTAAGAATTTAGGAGTTGTTTTTTTGTTTGTATTTTCTTTTCCTATGTGAAAAATGGAAAGATTAGGAATCTCTTTGAAAGGAGCACTTTCTGTCTGCAGGAGATACCCAGCTATCCTTGTTCAGAGATGACAAAGCTTAAGTTTGTCTGATTTATTGGAGATGGAATACTGAGGGCTCTAGCTTACTGAAATGAATTACTGCATAACTTTGTTGTATAAGTACCAAGCAAATGTGTGCCAGGCAAAAATCCAGAGATCTTCCAGTATGATAAGAAGAAGCATTGGCTTTGTAGTCTTACAGCACTCTAAAACAAGACACAACACAGAACTGATGATTTATAATTCCTTAATATCATTTCAGATTTTTAACGTTGTACCTCATCGTTACACGTGAGTAGCTGCACTACCCATCTATATATCCATAGACACATAAGCTCAGAGTGGAGATAACATCCGTGTCTTTATGTAGATTTTGCTTTTATAAGATTGCTTTTGTTGCAGTCTGAAGTCAGAATCTCATGCTTTAATTTGGACATCTGCTCTTCAGAGAATAGTCAAGATATTTGGAGCACATAAGCATGGAATAAGCCAGAGAGGGTGAATGGAGGAGGAATGAGGGGAGAGGAGCAAATACATCCCTTTTTGCAGATGATTCCACTGATTCAGAACTCTGTTTTGGTGCTGCTGATGGAAACAAGTGCCTCTTTGCCACCATAGGAAATCTTCCCACAATGTTCCTGCATTAAGAAGGTTTGAAAAGAAGCTTTTAACAGCATTATTTGGGGGGGATCTCTGTCCAATGCGTTCCCTGGGAGCGATCCTGGCTGGCTAGCCCAAACCTGGGCATTTTTGTGTAGGCATTTCAGATTGGAGCAACATCCCGTGTTTGTGAATTTGCCATTCTACAGGTGTAACTGGTGCTGTCTGTGTACCCATTCCGGGTCTGACAGATGACAGCTTTGCCTGTCACATGCTTGTGATCCAGGTTTGAATCTCTTAGGAAACCAAAAACAGCCTCCAGACCCCCTGCTTTCTAATTCTGCATGACTGAAGTCATTCAGCATGTTGTAAATACTGCTGCTCGTTCCAAACACACCAGGTACCTGTGCACATATCGTTGTCAGCGTATTTCTGCAGTAATGTGCAGCGGTTTAGCATTGGGCAACTGGCACAAATTAAAAAGCTTGAGTCACAGCCTTGCCTTTTCTGCATACACCCACGTGTATCTGTTACATCCGTGCTGCCTATGGGAGGAATGTGAATTGCAGCAGCACTGCAAACGCCCTGCCAGCAAACAAGGAACTTGCCCACACTCAGAAAATGGGTATCGGTGCAAAATCTGCGTCAGAAGAAGAGGAAGCGGGGAGTACAGCGAAGCATTTGTTTGATGTGGCTGTAGGGGTCACTAAGAGATGTTTTTCTACCAGGGGATTACTGTGCAGACAACAGTGAAAATATGTCAGTGGTAAATGTTGCTGTGCTTTGTGACTGAGGCGTGCATCTTGATGTTTGGGTGACATTTTGCATATTTGTGAATGAAAGCCCTGTGTTCTGGCTCAGTTTTTGCCACAAGGCACAAAATCAGTCATTTTCCTGCAATTCAACCGTAATTGCTCATTATTCTTACAGTACTTTCATGTTTAAGGACATCTCATAATCCCCACTGTTCTTTGCAGATGATCTATAGCATAAAACCAATTAGTTGAGGATTTCTAGTGACTGCATGTGTAGAAATGGGTTCCCTGCACATAGTTTGCTGCGATGAAGTGTCGTGTAATTTGTGCACCTGCAGTTAGACTGAATGTAGCCCAAGCTGCTTATATCTCTAAGAACTTTGATTGTGCTCATGTATCAGGGCATCATGTATTTAGGCATCAAAATATCGTGCCCTATGCCTCCAAACAGCAGCACACAGAAAATGGCAAGTGTCTCAGAAGAGGGTGGCTTGAAAATCAGATCCCTGCACTTTACAGAACTGTTGGCTGAAGTGGGGTGACAGGCCACGAAGACAATTCTATTAGATGAGCAGTTCCCTTTTGTCCATTTAAAAAAAGACCGTGTTGTACTGAACACGAAGTCCCTCCCCTTGTTCTGATGGGTTATCATTTACCTGGAAGAGCAAATAATTCTTTGGGCAGCTTAATGGTTTTGGAGCCCGCTCAGCTGCCCTGTGACACTGAATCTTTCACCTGCTGGCCATAAATGCTGAGCACGCTGATGTTCCAGTGCTCAGGTGTTCAGGTAAAGCTCCTGTCTTATCTCTTCATAACTGTGTGCAGCTTGGCTTGGATTGGAACCCGAGGTTTCTCAGAAGTGTTCAGAGCTGGCTTAGTCTGTCTTCCTGCTGCAAGGTGAGGATTTATGCTTTTCACAAGAAAAACAGAGAGTGGTGCTTAGCAGCTTTGGAAATCCTCCTTCACTCCAAAGCTTCTAATCGAGGAAAAAATCAGGAGTTTGGGGTATTGCAGGTTCGACTCCTTCATAGCTTTGAAGAGCCTTCAGAATCTGGCTGGTGTTAACTCGTGCCCTGCCATGTTGGAGGCTGTGGCTGTGCTTGCAGGTATTGCCTGTCCCGGAGCCCAGCAGCAGGATTTGTTCCGCTCAGCTGCCTCCCCACACCTTGCTGTGTCTGGGCAGTGCTGCTGGCACTCAGACTTGACATCCTGAGAGCAAACCGAGAGTCCTCCTGCCTTAGAATACTGAGTGTGATGGGACCATTATGTATTATTGCTGCTTTTATTTCACGCCTATAAATCTTCACAAAAAATATAATCCCTTTCCTCCTCAAAAAGAGACAAATGAAAAGAATTGAAGGTTTTAAACAATGTGTACAAGTGTGTCACTTTCCAGTCGCGTGGACTTCGATCTCCATAACTGGGCAACTTTCACTGCTCTCTGCCCTGAATTCAGAACTATAATGAGAGACATTCTAAGGTGGTTTATTTTCTTTTTTCAGTATTTCTGGCTTCTTGTGCTCTCACGGGGTTTGGTTGGCATTGGTGAAGCAAGTTACTCAACTATAGCTCCAACCATCATAGGAGACCTTTTCAACAAAAACACCAGGACCCTTATGCTGTCTGTTTTCTATTTTGCAATTCCTCTTGGCAGGTAAGTGACACAAGGCTTTTTTTCGTCTGTTTTTGATTTAAAGTTAGCTCACACAAATCTTCTGTTGCCAGAGATGATGGTAATTCTGTCTTTGGTTGGAATGGTTTAGACAGGAAAATATTGTCAGCCATGACTACTTAGTTGCATTTGATTCCTTTTCTATCCTTGTTACTTATTCTTGTGTGAAATAAGTGGGAAGTACTGTTTTTTACAGCAATTAGGGAAAAATATTTTAGCTGACTTTCCTGGAACATTATTAAAGTAAGCTATCAATTTGAATAAAATCATATTTGTTCTGAATTGTTGCTTCAGTTCATCTGAGTTCGAGGCCTCCGTTAGTCAGTGTCGTTCAGGTTGCTGTGAAATCAAGATCTCGTGAGACACAGGATGATGATGTCAAAAGTGAGCAAATGGATTCCTGCTTCTGTCCGAAGATCTGAATATCTGTGATTTCAAGAGGAATGTGCTTCATTAACACAACCTATTTTAGTTTAAGCTCAAAATTCTGCATGGCCTCGAATTTTGCCAGTCTGAGTTTGCAAAGTGTGACTAAGCCAGTCTTGCTAGTTGTAATAGCGGTGGCCAGTCAGTTTTAGTGCTGTTACCATTGACATAGCAATTAAGAGAAATGCTAGTACAGACAAGGCTGAAAAGAGAAAATGTAGTGATTGTTCACACTTCTGTGCAAGCAGTGGAGCACAGCCAAGACAAAGATGCCTGGTGGAGCCACAGACAAGCTCAGATTTGGAGTAATTATTTCTTGGCGCTTTCTTTCAATTGACTTCCCTTATCAGCCCAATGCGGTGTCTGATTGTTGGGACAGGAGGGATTCTGTGACTTTTATTTATTTGTTAAAGAATGGCCTGCCATCGTGAGGTTTGGAGGCAGAGTGGATTCACACAGTTCGCAGCTCGATTCCCAGAGGTGAACAGCTTCCTGTGCAGAAGTGGCATCAAGTGCTCATTTCCAGTAGGGAAAACCTGGGCAACAGTTTAATCCCATCAGTTCAGGGAACAATTTATTTAGGGTGGTGCATTTACAAGTCAGAGCAATTAGTCTTGCAGTATAACTCACAAACATCCTTTTGTTCTTGAGGAAAAAGAGCCAAGACATAAACTGATGAAAAGAATATTTTCCCAAGCAGGGAAATACCAGGGGTGCCAAATATTTACATTGAGAATTCAGTGAGCTCTGGCTAGCAAGAAGTGACAAATATTCATGTGTTAAGCACCAAATATCGAATGGAGGCTGGGATCCATGGTTTGATTTCTGTAAATGGTTTGATTTCTGTAAATAGCAGTTTTGGACACAGTATAGATGGCAACTTCCAGAACTTCACAGACTGTTCAGTAAAGGCATGTGATTGCTGACATCTGCCTTTTGGTAGCCCTAGAAACTTTTAGCCAAGGCAGTACAGCAACAGATGCAGCAGTTTTGAAAGAATGATATCCATTTTTGTTCCATTGAGTTTTAGAGAAACTTGGTTTCATTCACCTCTACCCAGTCTCTTGTAAGCCACCTTCTGTTACCACAGCATCATCCTTAGCATGGAGCTAAAGGTCCTCTTGCTCCTTTATCTGCAGACTGATCTGATTTTCTCTCATCTGACTGTCTTGCATATTCCTCTTAGTTTTTCTTCTAGGTGTATAAAAAATGCTTACTTCATGGGCAGTTTGCACCAGGTACTATTAAATGACAAGAAAAAAATTTCGTGTTAGAATATGATGTGTCCTTGAAAGGCACTTCTTAACTGAAAGCCTGAATGTAAAATTATAAGTATTCATATTAGTGCACAGAAAGGAATGATGTATAAATTGAATTATGAAATAAATTCTTTTTGAGCCTTTTTGAGGGGATTGAAAGGTCAGTTATGAACTTAAGATCAGTGCCCAAATTTCCATGAGATTTCAGGTTTTTCAGACCGAGGTGCTGAGAAGAGTTATGTTCCCTCTGTCCCTTCCTGCAGCAGAGAGACTAGCAAACGCAATTGGTTGTGACTGTTTTTATCTTTGTTTAAGAACATCCATGACTGTGGTACTCCTTTAAAACTCTGACCAACTCTTTTCTGTGTATTACTTGCAGTGGCTTGGGATACATCACTGGATCAAGTGTGAAGCAGGTTGCTGGAGACTGGCACTGGGCGTTGCGGGTAAGCCAGTCTCTTGGCATGGCATTTGTGTGTGGATATTCCTTGTTAAACTCATGGTCTGGAGCAGCCACAAGAAAAAACGCTACCTGGGATTTTGTTTTTTCAAAATCCTTTAGCTCTTCGTTGATCAAAATAGCTTGAAATTCAAGATGTTCCCAGAAATGCAGCAACTTTTATTTTTGCTTTTAAAACCACTTTCATTCTTCTTCCTCAGTAAAATTATAGATTGCCAGCACTCTGAATCAACATTCAATAAGCACTACCCTGGCCTTGGGGAACCTTTGTCCAAATTCATAGAGAGATTTATTAAGTCTTACGTATCAATTTTGATAATATCTTAATAACAGTTGTATCAATTAATCAGGGTTAGGGAGAGAAGAGTTCTATCACGCATGTCCTCAACCTTTTATTATTTGTGCTAAAGGATGGGAGATTACATCTGTGGATATTAAGTGCATAGCAGAGGTATTTTCTAAGCATGTGAGACAGGTCTGTGTTTTTGGCTCATTGTATTTGTTTTTCTCCCTGCCTGGGAGCAAGAATTTTCCAATCACTCTATTATTAATCAAACATGATTTCTTGATGAGGATGGGGAGATGAGGCGTTGGCCTTAAATCAACTCCACAGTCTTTCTGTCCACTGCTGTCAAGAAACTCTGAGAATGGCTTCCTGCTTTGAGGAAAAAACACTTTGTTCCAGTTTCCGCCTGTTTTTCTGCCCCGAGACAGTCAGCTTCCTTCTATTTTAACCTCTTGGGACCTTGATAAATGTGTTGAAAAGATAATACACTCCTATCACATACTCCAAACAGATCCTGCACACAAAGATGTCTTGAAAGAGCTGACAGGAAGTGGCCCAGCAGAACTGTTCTCTGACCTTTGTCAGTTTGGGTGGCACGTGCCCCAGTGGGTTGCATTCTCTGCACTTCATGAAGATGATGAATCTCATGAATCTCAGGCTGATAGCGTTTATAGCAGCAGGTGATGAAATAAATGTGTTCCCATCTCAAGCAAGTGTTACTTTCTGTGACACGGTCCATTGCCTCTCAAGCAAGGGTAAGCAAAGCCAGGAAAGCCTCTGTGAACCGTTCATCTGCACCGAGGAGAGTGGGGAGTGGTTTCCAACTGTGAACCTGAACTGAAAAAAAATTAGGTTTGATAGCCTAAAACTTCAGACCAAGAGAGTGCCTGCCTCATTCAATGGCAGAAATGCTTGAAAGTTAAAATAAACTTTTGAGTGAAGGGTCAGCACAAGGAAAGAGAATCTCCTAAATCCCTCATTCTGGTCAGTGGATGTTGATGAAATTGCACTGTTGGACCATTGTGCATCTGTCAGTAAAACTGAAATGTTTCGTTTATGCAAAGAAGTCATCAGTAGTGTCCTTCTCTTCAGTAGATGTCTCCATAGTTAGTCTGCAAGGCTGTACCCTTATGGGGTCATGATTTCCACGATAAATGGTACATGGATGCACGATTCCCTGAGTGTGCAAAATCATGGGAACCTAAAAGACAAGCTGCACACATCCATGGTGGTTGCTTGGGATAGGAGTGCATAGTTCTTTTAGTCAAACTACACAAGAAAGCTTCCTGACATCAGCATAAAACAATCCCTGTCCCTTTGGCAATCACTGTACTCTTGCACGATGTAGTAGATTCCTCAAAGCAGTGCTTTCCTCTGTGATGTCCTGTGGCCTCCAAGTCTGAGGGAGATAAGGAATGATCTGTGTATCAGCGAGCTGGAGAAGGACACTAAGACAAAGGACAGCTTTGTCTCTGGATCTAGCTGTAATGTCAGTGTTTTACTGGAGCTTTACTGAGTACTGATGGATAGTGTCTTGTCAGAGGAGTGAGCCTTCAGATAAAAATCCTGACTTTCCATCAGGATGACTTTTGTCTTCCGCTGGCTCCCCTGGAAGAGCTTCCCTGGTTTTGTCTTCTTTAGAGATATAATATCACTCTGTATGTAAAGACCATTCTGAGGTCATTATTGGAAGCATATTTTTTGGAACAGGAACTTTATTTTGAAAGTGACGTGTATGGAGGAGATGACAGCTCAGTGAAAATGCACGTTTCTGTTTTTCCAACAAATTGTCAATTTCAAAACAAGAATCACATTCATTGTAAAACATGGGAAATGTTTGCATTTTTGTTCAGCGATTGAGAGAAAGGATTGGAAACTAGGAAACCTAACCCTTGAATGTGTCATTTTCCTAACCTCCAGCTTGAATTTTCAATGATTCTTAGTCTGCTGCTCATTGAGGAAGTCACTGAAAGTTGCCTGATAATGAAACCATTGCAGGGCGGAGGAACATGGTAAGGGATGCATGTCAAGCAAGGATTTTCACAGGCGACAGCCTTCCCACGACCAGAAATCTTTCACTTGGCCTTATTGACCTGAAAATGAGTTGGTCTCTTAGTCTACCAGGTTTCCAAAGAGTTAAACGTAATTCAGAATGTCGGTACATTAATAACACGGATAAATACCTTAATCAGGGTATTCTCAAAGCTTCATGCTTGCAGAGTGAGATAAGAGAGTCCAGGGAATGACAGGGAGAAAGGAAGGGAACAGATGCCTCAGTGTGCTTGCAGATTCACACTGGCTGTAAAGAACTGGGGTGCTGAAACGAAATGAATGTAATCTGTTTCTTACTGACAAGTCCAAGCAAACACTGCTGGCTTCCTGTGCTAATTCCCTGTTTCTTTCATGCAGGTATCTCCACTCTTAGGAATGATAACAGGCACACTCATCTTGATATTTGTACCTGCTGCTAAAAGAGGAAATGTTGAACAACTTGGGGGACAGCTGAAGGCTCGGAGCTCATGGCTAAGAGACATGAAGGCACTGATTAGAAAGTAAGAGCACTCTGCTAAAGCATGCTTTGCCTCTGCTGCTTAATCTAAACATCACATGGCCTGTACTTGTTAACATTGTGAGCCTGGAAAATGGCAACATGCAAGAAATTGCAGAAAATTTGATCTGTTGGCCTAGAATGAAAAATTATAGGTACATTTTCACTAGATGTTGACTGTGCTGACAAAGGTGGATTCCAGCTTTTGCTGTAACATTTCTAAAATGCACATCTTAGAGTCTGCTTTGTTTGGCTCGTCTTTCAGTCTGATTAAGGCTTTTGAAGTATAGAAATTGCTGCGTTCCTGTAGCAATTGTAGTGCCACTGTTGTTCAAATGTTTAGATTCTTTTTATTTTTTGAAAGATGTACTCTGCCATGTGAGAAAAAGAAAGTTCAATGCCAAAACAGCTTAAGTGGAGAAAATACAGAAAAGCTTCTACTAAAGTTTAGTACAAGTTTAAATATATGTGTTTACATAACCAAAAGTGAGTGAATAGATGTGCACACAATGTGGTTGGGTGCTTGTACATTTGCATAGAAGATAACACGCTTATGAGCTTTTAAGTAGCTGCTCTTGCTTACACAATGCTTGCTGTTAATGTGCAAATACTTGCATGCATGAATTCAGAGTTACATTGGAATTCTGATGGGAAGTGTGGTGTCTTTCATTTTTTCTTAGAACTGCTGGCTATGATATCTTCCTGGTATTGCCAGACAGTATAAAGGGAGTATGAAAAGTGATAATGGGTAATTTATCAGTATTTCTATATTGCTTATTTTGGTGATTTATCCAAGTAGTAATCTTAAGTAACATCAATGGGGAGGGAGCGATGGAGCTTATAGTTCCAGCAGACAGTGATGTGGTGATAGCCCTGTATTTCACACATCATGTCTTAGTGATTAAGTACTGATCTTCTCCTGAAAGGGTCCCCTGAAAAGTGGTCCCTTTGAAGCACCCCTGGAGAGTTAAGCACATTATTATCACTAGAACATGATGTATGAATTCCCCGCCTCTTATTCACCATTCCTTCATACCTCCTGTTAACTCTGTACCTTGGCAGAGGAGGCTAACAACAGGAGAACTCTGTGTTTTGTCACAGCGGCACACTTTCCTTGCTCTTTCAGTTTTCCTTCCAAACCTTCTCTTGGTTTTGCCTCATGTCTCCACAGCCGCAGCTATGTGTTCTCATCGTTGGCCACCTCAGCTGTTTCCTTTGCCACCGGGGCACTTGGCATGTGGATCCCCCTCTACCTTCACAGAGCACAAGTTGTGCAGAAGACAGCAGAGACTTGCAGCTCGCAGCCCTGTGGCACCAAAGATAGGTGAGATTCATACACACTGCTTTGAAAAGGAAGGAGAGAGAGTGGGGGCTAATTTACCAGAGGAAATAGGCAATTCTCATGGAGTCAAGTTACTAGAATGTCTGTAATTTCCTGTAGATCCTTGCAACAATGATAGGAAATGCTGGGTTTGTAAACTGAGTTTTATTTCTCTCCTTTTCTTCATTACATGAAGTCATGAAGTCGAACCAAAGGAGAAGTGATGACCTCAGCTCAGTCTTCGTTCCCAGACTACAGTACAGAAGTAGAAAAGACAGCTGTTTTTGGCTTAGGAAATGTATGGAGGACTGAGAGGATGAGGTCTCTTAAGACCCACACTGCTTTCTGGAATAGCAGTAGAATCAGTTGGCAGGTTGGGGTAGCCAGAGTGGTGGCTATAATTCAAGACTTGGGCTGGTTCCCCTAAGGGCTGCAGGAACTGCCCCTAAAGGTTTTTATTTCAGTTGGAGGGAGAACCTCACTGTGTTTCATTGCTCTGTATACTACTGAGTATGCTGAGTTTTGCTGAAATGTGATGCAAAGATCTGGGACGCTTTGGTCTGGATTGCTTGATGTTTGTTACCCAGTGGTGTTTTTTCCCAGTTATATAACATAGCTTACAGTGCATAAGCTGTGAAAAGGAATTCATTGTTTTGTGCCTTACCATGGTAGCACAAAACATAAAACCCTAAAAAAGTTTTTACCCTAGTGAATAAAAGATATGAAAAATTGCCTTTTGCCAGCTCTTTTAAGATTGGGACGGAAAAATAATGTTAGGAAAACCTTGCTCTAGCTGACACAATCCCATCACAAGTGAACTGCTTAATGGTTTGAAGTAGCATTGAGTAGTGCACCCAGCAGGCAGCCTTACTGTGTTCTGAAAAATGCAGCGAGCAGAAAATCCAGCTCCAGTCAGACTGCCCATCTGCTGTTTACAAAGACAAGTTTTCCACTCCTTGATGACACCTATATTTTGAGCTACCCTAGAGCTACTTCAATGTAATTGCCAAAGACTCTGTTATCTGAGTCATACACATACAATACAGCGAATCCTTGACAGCTACTGCTCTTAAATCTAAATAAACACATTTTGTGTGTGTATTATAACGGCAGAATAATCTGATCAGCCTTCTTTGAAGTAGACTGAAAGATGTTAGAAAGTTGAAGTATGTTGAAAGTCACTGTTATTTGGTTTCTTGCTAGGATTCTTTTCCCTTAAGCTTCCTAGTGTCTCTCTGTCCATGCTTTCCCTTACATGATCAGCGTTCAGGTTATTGCTCCATTTTGTTTGTTCATAATTAGCAGTACAAAGTACTAAATAGGGAACTATAAAGAAAGAAGCAGTATGAGCCCTATGCATCTGTGTGTTGATCAATGCCTTTATACAAGGCTGAATTTCATCTGCTGTTTCCTGTAATTTCAAGAAAGGTGCTGAAATCACAAGCCCTCGGGAAGTAGCTCATTTATTTTATCTTAAACTTGCAAAAACAATGTTTTCCATCAGTCAGCTTACCCTAGTAACGTGTTCATAGATCATGTCCATTTGGGGGGAAAAATATTTAGAAAAATAACCAACTTTTTGTTTTGTTTTGTTTAATAGCTTGATCTTCGGAGCAATCACGTGCTTCACTGGTTTCCTGGGTGTAATCACAGGGGCTGGGGCAACCAAATGGTGTCGGTTAAAAACCCAGCGGGCTGATCCTCTTGTCTGTGCTGTTGGCATGCTAGGATCAGCCATCTTCATCTGTCTGATCTTTGTCGCTGCCAAGAGCAGCATTGTGGGAGCCTATGTAAGTATAATCCTTTGCATATGCCAGTCTCACTCTTATTCTCTCAACCAAACACCTTGGGTTGTGTGCATTGCTCCCTGCAGAAGTATGGAGAAGCCGATCTTGTTTTTCCCAGTCTCAGTGTTTGTCATTTTGCCCCTTGGCATATTGGTGCTGTCTGGGATGTGCTTGGGAGGAAAATGGGATTTCATTCCATTCACTAACTGTCATCAGAATTGGGAACGGGGCATTTAACTCCTGCATGGAAACCCACTGCTCTGTGCCTTTGGGCTCTTCTAGCTGTACCTCCATCCATACCTCAGTTGTTCTCGCCTAATATCTTAGTACAGAGAAATTGGCAGCTTCCCTTACAATTAAGGGTATTGTAGCAGCAGTGATATCAAATCATAATTACAGTATGACTTGTCTGTGGGCAAGCTTCTGGCTACCTGTAAGTACTGTTAATTTCCATAGCTAAATAGCTTGCCACAGACCAACAGTAATTGCCATGTTAGGTCGATTTGTTGTTATCTGTATTAGCTATTAGCTATATAGCTAATATGTATTAGCTGTATTAGCTATAGCACCTGAAACTCTTCATCAGAGCCTAGGAGTACACAATACTTGCTGCTGCACAATTGCAGATTAAAAAAATGTTCACTCCTGGAGTATTTATAAACCTTAGTATATAAAAAGACATCAGATTGATTCAGAGGAATGTTTTCAAGGGAAAAGGAAAAATTCAGCATAGTGTATGTTAATACAAAGGGTAGAGATCTAATCTTGAGTTCTCTTCCAGTGTTGCAGAGAGAAGCTTTGTAAGTTTTGAAGGGACAGCCTGTGATGATTTGAGAAGTGGGATAATTTCTGAAAGTCCACATCTAGTTTCCACACAGCAGTGCACACTTCACTGAGCAAGGAGAAGTCATCTACAGTCAAACATGCCACCTACTGCAATGCCTTGCCTCTCTGTTTCTAGCTCTAGTGCAGCCTTAGTTATTTTCCAGGTATTTCAGTAGTTGCCATAAAAGAGAACACAAGAGGAAAGAATGGAAATTTAAAAACATTACGGCGGAACCAAGAATGCTTACTCTGGCTATTTTGAAAGTGTCAGGAGATTCTGGACCTGTAGCTCATGACTAGAACTCACCTTTGATCCAGTGATTAGCAGAAAAATGACCATCACAGACAATCTGTAAAAGGCTGTTTCTGGCTGGCAAAACACGAGCCAGCCCTCCTTTCATTCTCAGCTGTCTCCAAAAGAAGAGATCTGTCAGAACCCTCAGCCTGCCCCTCCTCTCTGCCTCTCTGTAGTCAGACCTGTGATTTTCTCCTTTGTCAGACCTGATGACAGACATGTTCATTTGTGGTGTTTAGTCTCCTTATGTAGAAAGTCCTCCCTTTTTTAAGCTGGAAATACTGTTTTCAAAAAGCATGCAATGAAAGGTGGTTATTGGTCTCATTTTTTATTATTATTTTTTTATCTCTAGACAGCAGCTTTTCAGCTTCCATATTTCAATGTGGAAATATTCTGCATCCTGTAAAGATATAAATGTAGATGGTATTATTTAGCCAGTCTTAGAAACAATTTATTTTATGATGCATGAGCAGTAAATCTAATAAAGAGTCAATGATGTGCAGAGGAAGTAATGCCTCCATGGAGCGGGGTCATAAAGAATATAAGCCTATTTGCTGATGCTGTTAGGCTGATACACACATTTGTTGCAGGTAACACTGCCTCTCTGCAGCCCTTAATATTCTTTCTCTGCTGCTGGAAAAGCAATGCATGTATAACAGTTAAGAGTCTAGTTAAAGCACCAAATGGGGAATCGAGATCCGAACTCTCTTTATAAATTCTGCATGTGACACTGGACATGTTATTTGACTTCATTTTGCTTTTTCATTCCATTCTTCACCCCACTGAGAGAACAGGTCTGTTTTGGAGCTACCAATGTCTTGTAACACAAGGTATTGCCATGGCTGTGCTATATATCAGCTGAAGTGACTTTTCAAGGCAAGATTCAAACATGAGCCCTTGTTTTTCCTTGTTATGCAATGCTGTTATGATCTTACAGACTTCAAGAGTGTTTAATTACCTTTTATTTCACTTGGAGATCTGTTCTGCAGAGTTGTGTGGTATAGCAGTGTCTCTACAGTACTGTGGAGCAGGTTGTCAGAGTTCTTAACCCATCCAATCTTTTCATTTAGTCTAGTAAACTATTGGCAGTAGTAGAGTGCTTGGAATAAAAAAGCATTCTATGTCATGCCCACACTTTCGTATTTCTGTCTTTTACTGTCTTTGCTGTATAGTCCAATCAGTTCTTACCCAGTTTTCCTTGCAGTGTGTGTATTTATGTTTTGTATTCCAGCTCCTTTAAACAGCTATTTGTAAATTTTTAGGTCTCGCTCTGAAATATGTACCCTTTGAAATGTTGATTTTCAAACCTCTCTCTTGAAAGCCATTAGCTGTGGGCATCACTGTATCACACTATCAGACATTTCAGTGGTCTTTTTTACCCTGTTTTAAATCTCCAAGTGAATAGAGAGGGACCTTTTGCCTTTTTCTTTTCAAAGTTTTGACTTTGTTCCAACTTTCTGTTGTACCTCGATTTCAGTATCTTTCTCAATTCCACAAAGTCATTTCACAATCTATCAGACATCTGCCAAGCAAGTCCTTGCAGTAGAGCTTTTAGAGCACCAACTCCAGGGAGCTTTCTCTTGACATGGGGACTTATCTTCTTCCGACACATCTGTATTGCCCAGTGATGAGATGGAGTTAGGCTTGCTTCAAATTCAAAAGAACATGAGGTCTCCCTACCCATCGTTTCGAGGAGAAATTCAAATAGTGAAGGTTGAGACAGATGCATGCTTTGCAAATAGCCATGCAGGGAGTTTCTAACCTACTTCAGTCTTGCTGCAAGAACTGCTGGTGTGACAGCTGTGAAACCTACTTTACTTATCATTTTTTGAAATCAGGATTTGCTAACTCTGATCACTTAAACAGGAAGAGTCCAGGGAGACTGAACTTACATTGGCTCACCAAAGATGAACAACTGCACACCAAATGGAGATGGCGAGAGATGATACAACAGAGCTGGACTCAGAAAAGGATGCATCTCTCAAGCCGATATCTCAGTAGTAAAAGAGAATTCTAAAAATGTGTGAGGAGTCAATTTCAGGTGACAATTTCAGGAGTTACTGATCTGTTGGAGGCTGTCCTATTTGCAGTAAGCATTCCTAAAGCCTTTCTGCAGCAGAAATGCCACATGTCCCTCTTTGCAGTGGGTGAACTCATTTTTACAAATCCTCGTTAGCAGCTGGCTTTTTTTTAGTGTCACTATCTTTTCTCCTAATTTTTGATCTTCATTTTGTTCCTCTTTTTCTTTAATCCACAAGAGATGTGTTTCACAGAAACATGTTGGGTGAAATATACAGTGAATAATTCAAGTCCGTTGCTCTGAAATTTATAATATTTCAGTGATTCATAAGACTCATGCTGAATTGCCATAGAAGGGAGAAGTTTTACTTGCTGTGTGTAACTGTGTGTGTGTGTAACTCATATCATCTGAAGGCAAGCAGCTGCCTGTTTCCAATATTTTTTGAACAGGCAGGGCACATTGATGCCAGAATCGAGATAGCATCTTTCTCAAGCTCAATTAAATCTGCCTAGTTGCAGAATTCCAGCAACAGTAGCTGCAGAGCTGCGAGAGGGCAGATTTCAGTGCAGGTCAAGAGAGCTCACCTGGGGAACTCTTATGCCCTTCCTACATAGCACATAGCGTCAGTTTCTCTCAGTACCTCATTCGTGGGATCTGCCTTCCTTAGCTCAGCAGCTGTAATTCCCAGTGAGAACCTTTCAGAGCACACCAGTGGATAGTGGGAAAATGGAAAGAGAAGATTTCCTAGCTCACCAGCTGGACTGTAAAGACCGGCTCCGGCACCATCACAGAGGAAACAGATCCAGTCACAGTAAGGAATAGGAAGGGGGGATGTATGGGAAACAAAAATAATTTTAGACACAAATAGAGGAAGCTTTCTGTAGGTGAATGCGTAAGTCGTTCTATATAAAGCAAACTGTTCCTGGCAGTGACATGAGGGATGGAGGGGTTTAGGTTTAGGTAATCTTAACTGGTGGGGGGGAAAAGCAATTGCTGAAGTCACAGCGAAACCATATCTTCCTCTTCCCAGCCCAGACTGCTCCTGTGCAAGCTACAGGGTGCAAGCAATTGGGAGTGGCAGAGCCTGGCACAGCTCACAGGACAGCCACAAAATGTACACATGTGAATGCTTTCATCAGAGCTGAGCTGTGTATTTTGTTCCGTTGATGTGTTGTACCGTACTCAACAGAACATAAGGCTGTTAAAAGGGAAACTTTCAGTACCCCGAATCCAAGCCTCCATAGCTGTTAATCTCCAGTTCCCCATAGGGGTTCCAGGTGTAACGTTTTCTCTATGGATGCTCCCCCTTCGTCCCTCTCCCCCAAAAAAGTGCCTCTGTGTGTCAGCTGGGCAGAAACAGCCTTTGGAGGAGATGTGGTAAAGGGTTTTGATTGCTTTCTTCATGGATAGGGGCAAGGGAGCTGGTTCTAGTGAGTCTGATTGTTTAAGCTGTGTTTCATCTGTGTGTTCTCCTCTTTAGAATATATAAAGGAATGGAAGCATTGTGTGTGGAAGATTTTATTTCCTTGTCTGTTCAACTTAATTTTCTTTGTTAAATTGTTACAGCATAAAAGCAAAGGATTAAATTTGTTTATCCTGATGATGATCACTTCCAGTTCTTCACCTTCTGTAACTGTTTGCGGAACCATTTAATGAACTGCATCAGGGAACTGATTTATTCAAAGCCCCTCTTCTTCTATCTCCCCTATGGCAAATAGATTCTTTACCCTATCTGTTTCTGATCTCAATCCCTGCTTGGCTTTGTTGTGCACAACAAAAAAGGCTGTTTGAGGTTGGCATTAAGTGAGGAAGGAGTGCTGGAGGTGCACAGGGTATGTGATGATTGTTGATACCACACCAGCTCAAAAGAAGCTCTCATCTCACTATCTGCTTAGGACTTTCAGTGTAGCTTGTTGAGTCTCTCCATAGCATCAAGAATTGCAGTTCACTGTGAGACACTGATGTTGCAATCTCCATACCTAAGCCTTTTCTTGTGTATGCACAGGTATTACTAACATAAAGCTTAAGTTGTTAGAGTGGCTAGACTTAAAAAACTAGACTCAAAAAGGGCAACAATATGCTAGCAGGAGAAGGTGGGAACCCTGCAGTCAGTGGGCAGAGAATCTCATTTAGTTTGCTACAGAGTTTAACACATAGCTTGATGAAAATGACTGTTTTGAGCAGCTTTGGATTTTTTGTCTTTTCTAACTGATTTTTTGAATGATTTAAATGTGGAAGTCCAGGGCTGTCTTTTATGGTTGGCTTGTCATGTTCATCTGTTACCAGAGGTATCTGTCTTTTATTTATCTGCTTTAGAGATCATAAACAGTTGACACTAATGAAGTTACAGGCCAGCCCTCTCAGGGCTCAAATAAACATCTGTAGATTTCTAACACTCAGGATAAACCACAACAGTAACCAGAAGTGCATCATGTACAGCAGAATCCTTTGAGTAGGTTTCAGACAAATAAGCAACAAAGGGAAGTTTGTGACAGGTTATTTTTCCCTTAAATGTCAAGTGAATAAATCTTCTCCTTTTTGTGTGTTTTGTTACAACAGATTTGCATTTTTATCGGAGAAACTCTTCTGTTTTCAAACTGGGCTATCACAGCAGACATACTAATGGTGAGTGCACTTTGGAATAGCATCCTTCTCTTCTGTGAGCCAGAGCAGTTTGTCACCTTGCAAGAACAACCTGTAGTTTAAATCTTCTTCCAAATGCCTGGTCCATAGTTCAGCCTATTCTGTTTTGCTTTGTTTGTTGATTTGCTGAAAAGTGAATGGAGAGAAAGATAAAGCACTTCTTCTTTTGCTTTGTTCTGAGCACCAAGGTGAGGCATTGTCCAAAAAAGGACACTAATTACTGGATACAGCTCGTCTCCCCAAATTGTAAGAATTTGCACAAAACTGTTCATTAAAGAATTCAGCCAGCATTTCCTAATAGTCAGCACACTAGTGAATTTTGTTATCAGTAATCCAGCTTTGTTCTGTAATAGGAAATCCTTCCCTCCCTCCCTCCTCTGACCACAAAGACAGCAAGCTACCTCTCTCTGTGGCTCAGTTCCAGCAAACCCACCATTCAACACATACACAATAGAAAACCACCTCTGGGAGAGGAGAGGAAAAGAAAGTATAAAGAGCTTTTGGAAGATTTCCACCTTGTTCTATAGGAAACTGGGATTTTTCACCTCACATCCTTCATTTTCCATTCTCTCTCCACTACAGAGCTTTTAAAATCTTTCAGGTCAGCAAGTAGATGTTCATATGAAATGGTCTGGAAGATTGTTAGAGAGCCTTGCACGTTTCTTGGTGTTTCCATGAGGGACGTACAGAGCCTTTCACATATGTTGTACTTTGAAATCCTATTGTGAGGGAAGTTCCTTGTTGCTTATTGTATGAAAAAGAAAGAAACTAGGTCACAGAACCATTACAGGACTTGCCCAAGGTCTTTTGGCAGGTTGTTGACGAAGCTAGAAACACAATCTGTCTGGCATCAATAGAAAAATCCCTTGACTTGTGTTTGTTGCTTATGCAAACATTAACAAGAAAACAATCTGGCTCAGAATTTCTAGATGTAAAAGATACTGGTGTTGATATACTGATTCAGCAGAGCTTCAAGCAATATGATTTAAGTTCAAGGTTGTGTTTATGTTTTAAGGTGGCTCTGTGGTTGCCATGTTTTTGTAGTTGGATGAACTTTCAGTCTGTAACTCCCTTGTTCAGAGAACATTTTATGAGGTAGGGCCATATGGTTAATGCCACATCTCTTAAGTGTGAGTGAGGCACAGAGAAGCAAAGCTTACCAGTGTACTTCAGTATTGTTAGATGGCTTTGAATTGCTCAGGTTTGTACCTCCTACCAATTTAGCTTTAGCATACTAGAGCTTGCCATAGGCTGTTTATTCTGTGCTTGCATGAGTTTTGCAGCTTGTGCTGATTTCAAGGCTGATGCTGCCATTCATTCAGAGGTACCTTAACATTTAGACAGATGTGCAGTCTAAGGACAGCTGCAGTGAGGAAGTTGTACTACAATACTTGTAGTTGCTCACCACTGCCTCCTGTCACATCCTGTCTTCTGCTGTGATGTTCCAAGGAGCTCCCAAATCTCCCCAGTCAAAACGAGCAGATCTTTTATATCCTCTGTAGCAGTGGCTGACACAGGTGAAGGCCAGGCCAGGGAACATCTGCCACCCTCCAGCAGTGGCTGTAACAGAGCAGCTCAGGCTGAGAGAGAACTGAAACTTCATCTTGCTATCTCAAGTTAAACCCAAAAGACACTTTCATCCCAAACACTTCTTTATATCAAATGTGCTAAGGATGCTATTGTTACTCCACATTAATTACTGAGCTTTTCCATGTTGATTTCAATGTGCCTTCAGTATGCTGTCACTTTTTAATAACTGTTACAAGGTTTGCCATCTGTTTTGTATGAGCAGCACTGAATAGTGAACTGCATTTTGCAGAGATGCATTTGTGGTTATATATATTGCTCTAGTGCGCACAAGCAAACAACAAACAACTACAGAAATCACTGGAAGTAATTGGAAAAATATTCTTATTTCCAATTCTGCAAACACAGGAAATAAGCTAAAAGCATGTTAAAATTCAGATGTTGATAACTGATCCGAGCTCACAAGCTAGCTATGTTCTTGCCTTTTCAGACAAATGAACTGAGTGTCATATATAATGCCCTGCTTAATACATTATCAGCATGAGTGGAATGGTAAAAGTGCTATACAAATAAATGTAAACATCCACTTAGATCAGTGCAAGCCTGCAAACAGATGGCCTGAAGTACATTCATATTACACAAGGGGTTTGAGAACATTTTTAGTCAGGCAACAGGTGAGAGCCAGGGCTAGAGCCTTGTTTGACAGCTCTTTAAGAAGCCTTAGCCAGAGAAATGTGTGGATATACTTCAGCGAGATACACTTTAAGTGTTTTGCAAATTAATTTCTACTGATTACTGTTTATTTGGCGTAATCAGATGGGTATTTCTTCTTGCCCAAGGCTGGTAAGGAATATTAAAGCATTATTAGTGTAAGCCTAAAAACACTTTTATCATATACAAAAATATGATCCTATTTTCATGGATAAAAAGCTTTCAATTCTGGCTGATTTCAGTGACAGCAGGCTTATGCCAAAAGTGAGCTTTTAAAAACTTCATCCCAAATAATTGTCACGGTTCTCCAAAGATTTGCACATCTCATGACTGCTTATGAACCCTATCTGGCAAGTTGGTAAGCAGCTTCAGAGCTTTTGCAAGTTTGATTTCCTTGGCAAGAGCCAGAATATTAACTCATTATCTTCAAATTGTCAGCTCTTCATAGCTTTGTGCTTCCATTGCTCTTCTGCTCTTGGTACTGTAGCTGCCTGCATGCAGTTTCTCAAACCAACTGCAGTAAAAGGTGCAGAGCTAGGTGTGATCAACTGTCAGCACTGCAGAATGTACTGCGCCACCTGAGATTTTAAATGGCTGATTATTGTTCCAAACACAGCTTTGTACAAAACAACCCTTATTCTCCTGAGCACAGCTCTCCAAATCTCCTCCCAGCCACACGCTCAGATGGTGCAGCAGTGTAGATCTTCCTTTAGACTTGAAACAAGCAAGGGTGCTACATCCCTGGAAGAATTTGCTTTTTGTTCTGCCTAGTGTCCCTGTAGATTAAAGACAATTGTTTTTATGGTATAAAAAACTGTGTATTTTTACAGCTGACAAAACAGCATTTCCAGAAGTTTTCATTGCTTCTCTCAGTGTGCTTCACACATCAGTAATCTGTGAGTGCAGTAATTTACATTTTAGGGCAGGATGAGAAATGCTTATGAGTGAAGACACACTCCCTTTGCAGACATTGCAGCCCAGCTCTGAGCAGGACAGCAGAATTTACCTCCTTAGCACATGGCCTTCTACTGGCAAAAGAGGGATCTCTCTCTGTCTTTCCTACTATACTTATTTCAGACCAATCAGTTCTGTTGGATTCACTACAGGAAGGGAATGTCCACAGTAAACCATGGCCTTTCTGAACCTCTATTTCTGGAAGGGAGGTTTGCTGGAGCTGCTTGGTCAGCCTTCCTGCCCACCCTGTGTGCTGCCTGCATTGGAGCCTGAAGCCAGAGATGAGCCAGGGCAATCCCACAGACATCCGCCAAGTCTGCTGTGGCTCTCCCACCTCCAGTTTCTGTGGGATGCTCAAACCAGGCTGTGGATGGCTTGAATTTAAGTCTATTTTAGCATCAGTATGTCCATTTAGAACTGTAATTTACTGCTGTCTTTCTAGAACAGTAGCTTATGTTTGCCACCAACTGCTTCCCATCTGAATAAAATGCTTTTAAAGCAAGGATGGGGTGGAGTACTTTTTGGAGATGTTTTAGAGATGCTGGTTTAAGTCTTATTTCCTATCCAACATCTTTTTAGAGGAGGAGGAAATATCTCTTGTCCATTTGCTTGCTGTACATTGGGGTGGAGTTTTTTGGTTGTTTTTCTTTGCTTTTTGGCATTTGAATTCTGGGCTAAATTTACTACTTTTGGCAGTTTATAAACTGCATTGATGGTTTCAGCCATCATTAACTTCCTTAACTAGGCAGAGTGAAAACTTGTTGTAAATTGTACTGCTACTTGCAAAATTATTTATACGTACTACAGATGCACATGCAGAATTGTGTATAATTGTGTGTGTGTGTCTGTTTATGTGTACAAATATATACATACACACATATGATGCTGCTGTCATTCAAACTTCTTTCTCCAGTTGGCACGAATTCGCTGCCACTTGTTTGAAATGGTAAGTTTTGAATGCATTTGTGATTTCCTTAGTCATTTTGCTAAGAAAATTGATACGATATGGAGCCATGCAAGCTTTCTTCTCCAAATCACACAGTTTCTGTGATCTACACAGCTCAAGCCTCTTGAATTAGGTAGAGCATCACTTGATTTTCTCAAATGCCTTTTTCTCAAACAACTTGCAGAATGCTTCTCCTCTGCACCTGTGTGACATGGGCTCACGTGGGAAGAGCAGTTACTCACTATTTTTATCTCCTTTTGTCTCTTGGCTCCAGGTTGCACCCATTACCTGAGGCCTTTGGGGAGCTGTAATGAATTGTGTGGCTCTCCTCCCCTTTCACAGTGTGACCTTCAGTATGTTTTTGTGCCTCTAATGAAGTCTAGCCCTTATCTTCCTCTTGGGTTATCTGTGAGCCTTCGAGGCTGTTTGGAGCTCTCTGATGCACAAGGAGGACAGTATCAATATCTGCAGCCAGGTGGCTGCTGTGGATCTGATCATTTGCTCGTCTGTTGCACCACAGGATTTTAACAGGGTATCCATTGGATGTGTGGTGTCAGAGCACATCAGCAGCATGCATTCACAGCTTTGTCAAACCAGTAACAGAAGAACTGGCAGGTCACTGTCAAAACACGTGCATAAGACCCTAAGCAGAGGCATTTAATCCAATTTTACTCATCATTCCTAATTGTGTGTGCTTGGTAGAAGGTGATCATTATAAAGAGGCTTGAATCCTCTTCTGCTGTGAATTTTCTGAGTGCTGTTTCTTTCCCTTTGTTATGGTTAGCTCTTTCTACTGCAGGCAGAGCCTGCAGACCTCTGAGAGGATGTGATGAGCACTGGAGCAGTGCTTCAAATTCTGTGCCCTGAGATACATCACTGTCGAGCAATTAGTTCTCCCTAACTAAGACAGCTAAGGTAAATTCATCTCCACATCTCTAGCCAGAGACATGCCAGTCCTGCAATGCCAATTTAATTAATAAATGATTTCAGGAATACATTGCAGGAATTGACTGAAGCCTCGGAAGGCAGGACTTCTGAAAAAAAGAGGCAGTCTATCAAGAGCAAGTGAGAAGAAAAAAGGGATTGTGGTGAACAAATACGTAAACCAGAGTCCTTTCTGGCAGGGCAGAGAGCTCTCCAGAAAGAGGAGAACAGAAGAAGGCAGAACAGGATTCAGTGCTCGGAAATGGAAACAAAACTCGCTTGGATTTCGGAACCTTGTGAATTCTTTCTTGCTTTCAGCTTTTAGATCAAGACAGCATCAATTTCTGAAGTAGGAGATGTGAACATGGTGCAGTTGTTCTTAGCCAGCTTCTTTCACAGGTTTTCTGCAGGAGACAATTATTTTGCTTCTGAATTCATGTTATAAATCAAAGACCCTTCGACAGAACCAGTGTTTGTTGTTCTGTTTTCTTTCGGTTTTGCTTTCTAATCTTCAATTCCCTTCTATGGTTGGGTCTCTGTTTACTGCAAGCTCTGATCCCTTAGTGGGAAATAATTAATGTTTTTTGCTGATCCTGCATAGTCAGAATGATATTGCGTGACCTGGCTGAGGGTGTAATGTCCTGTTAGAGAACTGGAGGCCAAACTATAATATCCTGGCTCTGTGAAATTTCCCTAATGTGTCTTTGTAACCTTTCGGAAGTGTAATCCCATATTTTTGAGGGGAAAAAAAAAAGCTGCCAGAGATGGAATGGGAGGTGAGGATGCATGACCTTTCATGGGAAACCAAAGGATGTGTTGACTGTGGAAAGAACACAGTATCCAAGGTTACAGCAAAGGCCTTGTTCAGAAGGCTGGTGGTGCTGAGCAGGTTATTTGCTGCAGGCATCTTCGGGGTTCTTTCTCCCCATCAGACAAGCCAAAATACAGGCAGAGGAGCAATAGCAAAGTGCCTCATGGGTGATGTATTAAAATCCTTTGGAACCTGACTTGTCAGGCAAATTAGTGCTTTCAGTGCAGTTGAAAGCAAGGAGTAAAGACCAGACAGAGCTGCCTTTCCTGGACACCTGCTGTCAGGATGGCTAGAAAGCCAAAAGGAGTAGCAGAGCAATTGAACTCTACTGGAGTTTGTTTGCTCTGTCCTGGTTGTTAATTAAGCAGTACAAGAGAACAGGCTCTTCAGTTGCATTTCCTTATGTATTTGTTTCTATTTCCTTCTGTGCAGTATGTGGTCATCCCAACACGCCGTGCAACCGCCGTGGCCTTGCAGAGTTTCACTTCGCACCTTCTGGGAGATGCTGGCAGTCCTTATCTGATTGGATTTGTAAGTGCTCACGGTGGTTTTTGGTGGTAGTGTTCGTCCATGTTTAGTTTTGCTTACTAACCATTTAGCTAACATGGGAGGTTAAGTGTGCTAGGGAAGGAAGGCCTGTATTTATCAGCAAAATGGGAAGTGGAGCAGTGCAATGCAACTTTTGTATCTGCTTTTGTTATCTGTGGGTTACAGTTCAAACTGGGGAGGACTACTTTTGCACAGGAAGTGAGCTTCCAAATCTGTTCAGCGTAGGTCTCTCAGACTTAAAGGGAAATTGGTTGCTTCTGTGGTATGGACAAAGGTATCTTAGAAATCAGATTGGAATAGTTGTATTTTAGCTGTCTTTTAAGGCAAGTAGCCTCCAGGTAGCAACCTGGAGCTGTTCTGACCCACTGATATTTTAAACACATGGTGTATGATAATAAATTCATGGCAGGATGTATATGTATATGTATATGGAGGATTCTTGGTATTCCTTTCTAGTGTGCATATTTTGTTTTTAATTAGTTGCATTCTTTTCTGTTGTTGCTGCTGTTGCTGGCATTGGTTTGACTCAAGACCTCTCTTATGAGACCATTACTAATGCAGAGAGAAACAAAAGACCCTGCTCCAAAAGCTAGCAATTGGAGAACATTCCTAGCTGAAGGTATAAGGCTTGGGAAATCTGATGAGGAAAAGAAATCTAGATATACTGGAGTAATTCCTTTCCCTTGCACCCTTCTGTTGTGTTTAATGCAGTGAGTTGCAGAGAAAACAGATCATCATTTATAAAATATAGCAGCTTCCTTGTAAAGTCTTAAGTGGCACAGCTTATGTTGTGTAGAAGGTGCTACAGTTTTCCAGTGATGTAACTGGGGTCTTAGTTTCGTCACTGGGGAGAGAGCTCAGATGAGCTCTTCCAGCTCAGCACTGCTGTGTGACACAGCTGCTTGCTGCTGTGGAACTTACTTTTTATTTTTAACCACCATTTCTATTCTACTAATCCCCTGGACATTGGTGAGTGTATACAATCATATTTATTTATATTTTTTATATATGTGTATAATATTTACTCTTGAATGCCAGTTCTCAAAACCAATATAGTTGCTCTGCAGCCCTCTGAAGCTTACACAAATGTACAAATATATATAAGGCTGAATGGATCAAAGGAATGAGAACTATCTCAAGAGAATAAATAAATACAATTTGGCTTAGTCTTTATTTACTTCAATATTCTGGGCACCCCAGGAGAAATGATCTTATTTTAGAAAGGATTTGAAAGTCACAAGAACAAATGAATCACTGGGAGATTTGGCTCTGTGCAGGCAGACAGCACGGGAGAATGGCAGGAAGAAAATGGAGTGGGGAGGGCTGCATGCATGGGGACCAGCGGTGGTGAGGGGCAGGGTCTGAGATCTGAGATGCACTGAGGCTCCCAGGTGACTGCTGCGTATTTGTTCTTTTGATTGCATAAAGGACACATCCAGGAGGACCTGGAATGATTGCAATTAATCTTGAAAGTTGCCTAGGGCTCTTTGGTGTCACAGATAGAAAAGGACTCTGGTTGTAGAAATAACGCGTCTTGCCCTTCTGGTATTCAGAGAGCAAGCAAGTTATGATTTACTTAAGGATGCCTGCTGAAATTTGCTAAAACCCAATTTAATGGCTGCCTTGGGCTGCCTTTAGACTTGGAAAATATTAATTATGATTTTGAATTACTCCTTTCTAAAGCTGTAGTTATTGGGCATTTCTTGCCTGGAAGGAGGGTACCCAAGTGCAATCTTTCTTGGCAGGGAGCAGGAGGGAAGGGCTCATGTCACAGAAGGCACCAGCATCCATTTCTGTGGCTCTGGAAGGCTTGGCTGACTCATGCTCCTTGTGCTACTTGGACTGAAAGGTCAGCTGGAGCTTTCCAATACCACAGAAAATTCAGCCTCCTCATCACTCAGGGTGCATCTGAGATCCTCAAGGTCCGCCATTTCTTCTGACTGCTTACAAATCCCACTTGCAGCTCTCTCACTCAGCAAGCAGTGTTTGGATCCAGATATGGCTGAAATCTTACAGAGTACTGGGGAGTTCACAGTGAGATTCCTTCCAGCAGTGCTCTTAGTAAGGAACTGGATACCCATGTCCTTGAACAACTAAGCTGTGTCAGCCAGTTGTCTGTGTTTGCTGGCTACCAGTAGAAGTCCTATTGATCTTACAATCCTCAGATAGAGCATTGAAGGTACTTAACAGCTGCAGGCCTACATCTGTGATTGCTCCCTTGCTCTGTGTCATGCCATAAAAGTTGAAGGTCAGACTCAGGTTTTTCTATTATCTCCCACGCTTCCAAATCTTGCTGTACAGCTGCATCTGATGACTGCTTTGTGTTTTGGCAGCTTCTTACAATTACCAAAAGTGCCAGATATATGTTAGTGTTTAAAGCTAGATGGAAGAAAGTGTATATGTGTGGCTGGTTTTCATGTCTTTAAATATCAATAACCTTTCTAATGGTAAAAAGTATTAAGGTTTTCTTACAAAGCAGCTATGCAAATACAGTTCTAGGGTAGCAGCTGTAATTTGCAAAGGTTTTCCTGCCTGTTAAGCACTGAGATCAATTACTATAAATCAGTGCTGCCTCTCCATTCACAAATAAGAATAGGCACCGCTGCAGTATTTCAGTAGATGTAATAATTTTCATTCCTAGGTATCTGTAACTTTCTCAGGACCTTTGTGATAATCTGCAGAATTTAAATAATTTCCATTTAATGGCTTGGGGTGTAACTCTGTACTTTGTTCTTGAGGTAATTTCAGCTTTCTGCGCATTTGACCTCCGTATCTTAGGGCTCTTTCTTTCCTTCCTCGGTGTGTATCAAGCACTGTCCAGCAGTGCTTTCCTCATCCAGGCTTGCCTTGCTGCTAGCCTTGGCTGTAGTTAGAAGCAGGCACCTGCTGCAGGCTTTGCTCTCTCTAAATGTGCCAGAGAAACTGCTGTTGTGGGCACATGCTGTCCTGGCTGCTCTGCTGCTTTGCCTATTCTGTTAGCTTGCTGCTTTGTTAAATTCTTCCACATCTTCCCTCTGCAACCACATCAGGTCTAGGGATTGAAACCTGCCTATTTCTGTCACTTGGCAGCATCAGCACGTGTGGAATGGTGTGTTAAAGTGCCAGGAGTCAGTATCTTTCCACCTTTTGGTGGGTTGAAAGCTTCTCCCCAAATCCACTTAGTGTGGTGCCCACCTGTCCTTGTCTCCCTGCTCACTACTTCTAGAGATCTACTGAGGAGCACAGCCTCCAACCACTTCAGCTAGAGTAGGGACAGCATTGCTCTGCAATTGTGCTCAGGCTGGGCTTGTTGCTCTGCGTGCTGTAGGTCATGCAGAAGCTCTCTCCATCGGTCCATCTACAATTTTATGAATAAGCAAATCAGTTGTCACCCTTCACTTTTCTCCCTTCCCCATCTTTCTTATGTGAGTAGGTCAATAAACAAGGTCTAATGAGCTACTTAAATAGCAAGAATGCTAATGACCTTCCTTTAGCAAGTAGTTAGGAGAACGGTGTTAATTGTCATTGGTGCAGAGTATCAAGAAGGCACATCAGCATTTGATTAGGGACAACTCGAAAAAGTGTACTAAATGCAGTAGCTGAGATATTAATTTCATAAAAGTTATAATTGGAGGCACAGACAGAACAGCCCTCTTGTGCCAATTTGAAACAGTCTTATTGTGGATTTGCTTACAACGATGTTTATCCATCCTGGTAAATGCTATATATGTATAAAAAGTAGTTCTGCATGAAAAGACTTGCCTGTTTGAAGAAGCTGAACTTCTGCATTATGGTTTAAAATTAATATTTCGTAGTTCAAAGTGCTATGGCTGCTCCTGAGCAGATCTGTGGACATGGTTACTCATGGTTCTTTCCTGGTTAGCCTGCTGTGTTAAAACAGGCCACTGGTTTGCTGGGGCTCAAATCCACTCTTGTCTGACTTGCTTAAAAACAAGGCACTGGAATGAAGTGGATTGTTGTGATGTGATGCTGCAGTCTGGGCTTTTAGTCCCTGTTTGACCTGTACAGCCATTCCTCAAATACAGCCCATTATGTGCTTGCTGGTGATTACGTAGTGCTGTCTCTTCTGCCAAAGCAGGGTGTGAGATGAACTTTAGTTCAAAAAGGCAAAGAATATCCTGCAAGATAAGTGTAAATTATTCTCCCAGCATCACTCTTTCATGGACAATTAGGAGATATTCCACTGCTGTTGTGCAATAAAGGATGGAGGAGAGGTCTCAGTCCTGTGCAGCATGTCACGTTACCTCCATTTTTGCCAAAGATGCTTTTCAGTGAGTGCTTACTCATTTTTCAGGGCTTGCTTTCTATGAGGCAGAATGAAGTTTTCAGTGAACATTCCTTCTAACAGCAAATCAAATCCTCTGGGCACTGCATTTGAGGGAACTTTGCATTTATCCAGATTTCTTTCCCTTCTTGTGATCAAGAATAGCATGAACAGAACAGGGTGCTTTCCCATGATGGAGATCTTGGTACTTCACCTGATGAAGACAGAAGATGGCATGTGATATACTTTCATGTTTTTGATTGTTCTTGTTTCTGTAGCAATTGCCAGCTGCTTGGGTGGACTTCTGTAACCCAAAGAGGAACAGTCATCCTGCAGAGTCTTCCCCCATATTAATGTGACTGTGGAGGGTAAAGTGGGACTTGCTCTTGCAGTCCAACATCTTTCACTCAGAGGTTGGTGAGGCACTGGCACAGGCTGCCCAAGGAGGCTGTGGATGCCCCATCCCTGCAGGCATTCAAGGCCAGGCTGGATGTGGCTCTGGGCAGCCTGGGCTGCTGGTTGGCGACCTGCACAAAGCAGGGGGTTGGAGCTGGATGAGCACTGTGCTCCTTTGCATCCCATGCCATTCTATTCTATCTGATGTTGGAAAGGAAATACTGCAAGAAAAGGAGCCCCCAGTCCCTCATCCTTATTAGCAGTTTCTTCAAGCAGTAACTTTACATTGAGAGCCTGCTCCATGGCATGGCTGTCAGATGCA